GCGGTTCTACCTTACTATATTTTTATCATGTTTTAAACTAAACAAAACACAAATCGCAAAGTAATTTCAGGCGATATTTGATTCCTTGCTCTCACTTCACTGAAAACAGCACTCAAATGCATGATACAAAAAAGAAGGTAGTTTCAATAAACCACTTTTGACGGATAATACAATTTTTTGAAGTTTCATAAATTGTGAGTATTCTCAACGGCCTTGCCACTTTGATAATATTAAAACAATAAATCGAGTATTTTCTTTCCCACATTTATACCAATTTAATAATATTTCAAATCAAAAATCATTATCAGTGCCTACTAATTTTTTTTACTTACGTGGTTCGCACCTTTTTTTATTAAAAATATATAAAATGTGTAATGTTAAAGGAAACTTCATTGAAATTGTTACTTTCATTTTATATTTTTTATTTTCTTATTTTGAATACAATCTTGTGATTTAAAAATCAAATTTTAAAGAATGCTCCTTCCGTCGGCCTATTTCGTTTCCAAATGTCACTTACAAATATTTTTTCACTTCAAACATTCTATATAACTCAAATACGATGTCAGGTACTTAACGTAAAATTATGAAATCAATTGCTTTGTTCTAAATGTGTATTTTTTTAAACTAAACAAAACACAAATCGCAAAGTAATTTCAGGCGATATTTGATTCGTTGCTCGCACTTCACTGAAAACAGGACTCAAATGCATGATATAAAAAAGAAGGTAGTTTCAATAAACAACTTTTGACGGATAATACAATTTTTTGAAGTTTCATAAATTGTGAGTATTCTCAACGGCCTTACTTTGATAATATTAAAACAATAAATCGAGTATTTTCTTTCCCACATTTATACCAATTTAATAATATTTCAAATCAAAAATCATTATCAGTGCCTACTAATTTTTTTTACTTACGTGGTTCGCACCTTTTTTTATTAAAAATATATAAAATGTGTAATGTTAAAGGAAACTTCATTGAAATTGTTACTTTCATTTTATATTTTTCATTTTCTTATTATGAATACAATCTTGTGATTTAAAAATCAAATTTTAAAGAATGCTCCTTCCGAATAAATCTTTTTATAATCGCCAGTTCCATGTGAATAAATTGTTCTCATAACTTAACATGCAAAACAAAGACAAATTGCGAAAAATTATTTTTGTTTTGCTTTATAATTTTTGGGAATATTTGTTCACAAGAAATTCGTAGTTCGTGATGATATCCATGAAAATTTACTTTTAAATTTCTCATCAGATTTTGCAAAAAACTAGGCTTTGTGGTTAGCGTATCACCCTTAACTTCAAAAAATTTCGAATTTAAAATTTCCAATGTATGCAAAAAACTTGAATTCGGCTTGCGCATACCGCCCTCCGATAAGCAATAAGCATAAGTATAATTTTGATCACTTTCTTCATCCGTTCTGAAACCTAGTAATTAATTAATTAATAATTAATTTCAGATTAATCATATTCGACATCTTTGAGAGGACTGATGACATATTCTGCTTAAAAAAAATATATCTGCTTGTGATCAGGTAGCATGAATTTAATGATCTGTCATAATTTTATTAAAAGTCAAATGGTTAACAACAACAAATGTCATTAAATGAAACTACCTTCTTTTTACCTCGCTTTTATTAGCTCGGGATGTAACTAGTGTGTACTCGTATTGAGAGGACAAAATTCTCCAGCAGCAAAAGTTCTGAGAATTTAGCAACATTCGCTCTCAAAGAGACGAAATATCAACAGAAGTACGAGAACGCAAAATTTGCAAAAGCTTGCAACTTTTGAAACAGCTGATCACTTGCCACTGGTGATTAATTTGGCAATTTATTTTCTGCTTGGTACATTTTCCCCCGATTTGGCATTTTATACAATTGAATATTTAGTTTAGGATAAGAAAAACCTTTTTAAAATACAAATTAATTATATCGGAATGAATAAGTTATTTTTCTCATAATTATTGGTGATATCACATGGTGACGCATTCAAAAACAAGAGTATCTCCTCCAAACACCCATCATTGATACAAAAACAATGTAATAGATATAGCTACAGATGTAGCTTTAAAATTATAAAATTTTCATTTCAACAATCAACCTACCAAAACCGAAAACTTCAGCAAAACAACATTTCAGCATGCTGCATTTAAATCTATTTTGATATATTTAAAGGTAAATTATGGTACAAACGAAAAATGTCATACGGCAACCATAGTCAGCACACACTAAAGTAAACAAACTGGAGATTAATAGCAAATTAGCGAAAAACAAACACAACAAACGTTGTGCATATTAAATTTACTCACTTTTTCGTTGTATACTAGCATTAATAATAAAATTTGCAATAAATAACTCAAAAAGGCCATATTTGCTTTTGTTTATTTACAAACATGTGTTTGTGATCAGCTGATTTTCTTACTTGCAAATTTTAGCTGGGACAAATTTTTCCAAATTTTTTCCGTCTTGAGACGGTCGTGCCTATTTCGTTTCCAAATGTCACTTACAAATATTTTTTCACTTCAAACATTCTATATAACTCAAATACGATATGTCAGGTACTTACCGTAAAATTATGAAATCAATTGCTTTGTTCTAAATGTGTCTTTTTTTAAACTAAACAAAACACAAATCGCAAAGTAATTTCAGGCGATATTTGATTCGTTGCTCGCACTTCACTGAAAACAGCACTCAAATGCATGATACAAAAAAGAAGGTAGTTTCAATAAACAACTTTTGACGGATAATACAATTTTTTGAAGTTTCATAAATTGTGAGTATTCTCAACGGCCTTGCCACTTTGATAATATTAAAACAATAAATCGAGTATTTTCTTTCCCACATTTATACCAATTTAATAATATTTCAAATCAAAAATCATTATCAGTGCCTACTAATTTTTTTTACTTACGTGGTTCGCACCTTTTTTTATTAAAAATATATAAAATGTGTAATGTTAAAGGAAACTTCATTGAAATTGTTACTTTCATTTTATATTTTTCATTTTCTTATTTTGAATACAATCTTGTGATTTAAAAATCAAATTTTAAAGAATGCTCCTTCCGAATAAATCTCAAATGAAGTTCTACTCACCTGAAATACACTTCGTAAATTTCATAGGAAAATTTTCATATTTACAATTTTTATGAGCATTTGATTTTTTTACAATGGTACGGAATTAATTTTTTTCTCTGAAATATAAATTTGAATTCGATGATTTTTTAAACATAGGAAGAGGACATACAACCGTACTAAAATTAAAATTTTTCGTCTCGAAAATTTTAAACTTAATATAGTTTTAATATTTTTATTGAGCTTTGTACCACGATTGTTTATTAGGAAAAATTGAAAAAGCAACAAAGTCTAAGCGGTAGAAGTTATAGCACTATTTCGGTGATAACCACATCTCCTCATCAGACTTTTTTTCTTGAAGTTTTTTCTAGTCTTCTAGAAGAAGGAGGTACTCCCGATTGTACTGGCAATCAGAGTTTGGAGGTAAATAATTAGAGGGAAGCCCAATGCCCTAAGTGCAGCTTGTCTGTCTGTCACCGCAGACATGTAAACTCATTCCCCTCCACCTCGCCCCACTCAGTGTTATACCGGCATCCGTTTCTTTCTAGTCTGCAGGTGGCTTTTAAGGCATCCCTACGTATGAAGAAACAAAGTGGCGGTAAGTGCAGAATTACCTTTAGATACTTCACTTCGGAAGAATTCTGAATTTCGGCTCCTTCTCCGAAGCCTGGTTTTGGACTTTGCTTTAATGACGAAATAGCTAACAATACGTCTTTTTAGGACTATTAAAAAAAAATAATAATAATAAATATATTTATTTAGTTTAAAATAAAATGAAAAAAGTGTTTTATTAAATAAATCTTTCAAAACTGGTTTTTATTTTATTTCTTCGTCTCTGCACATCGATTTTATTCAAAAGATCTTTTAAACGCTTGAGAAAAAGTTCAAATTTGATTATCGAACACATCAACTTGCAATTTTTTTATGCAAATTTTACTCTTTTATTAAATCCCAAATATGTGGCAAAGCTATGCTCAATGTTTACATCTGGAGAAATGACAAAAAAATTAGTAATGAAACTACCTTTTTTTTTGTATCATGATGTGAAGTGATGAAAAATGTTTTCACTTCACGTTTTCACAGAACAGGAATAGGCCCACTAAAAGGTACCTGTAACCCTCAAACGGGCAAACCCGTAAAAATTCTCAGATCAAGCTGATATTTTGTGTGCATGTAAATATAGGCAAAATATCCTTAAGATTGAGTTTTCAGATAAAAATTTTGTGTGGAATTATTGTTATGTGAGAAATAGTCAACACCGTCTCAGGACGGTCTTGCCGGTTTGCGGGTGAATAAAATTGTAATTATGTAGACATGTTTTTATTAAAACAATTTTATTAGGAAACATAAGTTATTCAGGTAAGTTTCTTAAAATTAATCAATTTCTTTTGACTTCGAGGCATGACTAGGGTAAGGAACGACTGGTCTCATCCTAACAGTTATTAATTTTTGTAATGGTCATCCCAAAAACAATTTTTATCAGCTGTACAACATAAATGAAGGTCACACTTGGAACAAGTGACTTGTGTGTCTGATTTCTTACAATATTTGCACCGTTTTTTCCCTTTTCTATCCATCCAAATCGGGAAATGATCTTGGCCATCGAATCGAACATCATCAACTTGATGAACAGCTCTTCTTCCAATTATTGAGGGGCTAGGCTGTTGAGATACCGAGCGATCGATACCTGGCACAGATGACTGTCTACCTACAGGCCGTTTTTCTTTGAAAGAAACAACACCAGCAGCTATTTCTTCACGGAATTGGGATACATTGCTGGAATCGTTTGCTTTCTCAGCACGTACACGTTTGCACACGCATAATAATATTTCGACTTTTAGCCTGAATATGGTAGCGACCCATAAGACTGTCCATCAGGTCGACTCCACCCATGTGAGCATTGTATTCCCGTATGATTTGCGGACAGTTTATTTCGATGAAGTGTTTTTGTTTTCTATCATATCGGGACACCTTCGCTGTTTGCAGATCAGGATTGGCTCTCAAAAATGGTTCAATACCAACATATGTAGATGTCAGGCACAGACATTTGATATTTTTCCATAAAACCGTATTCAGATCGATTCCTTGAACTGAGGTCATGTATTCGGTGGAAAATCCTCTACTCTCTTTGCGGACCTTGCAACCTGGTATGCGGTTAGCTGTAAATAAAAATATAATCATGTACTCTTATCAACAAAAATTGCTGAAAACCTAATTACCTCTCACTGTGCCTAAACTATAAATTCCACGAGCTCGCAAATATACCAACAGAGGCAATGATGTATAGAAGTTGTCAAAGTAGAGTATGTGATGAACGAAATCGGGAATTGTTTGCGATAAACGCATAACAATATTAGATGTGGTTCCAAGATCAGGTGTGTTAGGTAGGATAACATTATCTCCGGCACCGTTGTAGATTTCGAAACGGTTGGCAAAGTCATTCGTATCGCAAAGCACAAACAACTTTACGCCCCATTTATGCGGCTTGTTTGGTATATATTGGCGAAGATGGTGCTTCGTCTTTGTGCTGCACATCATTTCATCGACGCAAAGCCTGGCTGACTTCGGGACTGAATCGAATCGGTGTTAGCCAATGTACGGATACGGGGAAGAGTGGATCATAACCCGGTTGACCCTTTTTTATTCTCTGCGATTCTTCTTGGAAAGATAAATACTTTTTTATGGCAATACATCGTTTGATTGGCATACAGTTTTGAATTGGTTTAAATGAATTTTGTCCCCAATAGCTGTCTATATTTGGATAGTGATAAACGGACATGGATATCATTATTCCAATATAATGTCTGATTTCAGCACTTGTCGTTTTGAAGGTGGAGTTAATATTTTCCTCTAAAGCACGACGGTATTTTCCTCTAAAGTACGACGGTTTGTCTCTTTAGCTATCATCTCCAAAATTTCTGAAGTGAAAAAGAAATTGAAGAATGCCATTGGTGTTTGGAGTTTTTACAGTCGACGGTAGTGATGAATCGCCACGGAAAGCCACTTCGTTGACATGTAAACGCAAAGCGCGTTTACGCCAGATCGCTTTCGACAACTCTTTACTCGATACTGCAGTTAGAGCTTGAATGAATATTTATTTCAAAGGAAAGTAATAAGAGAAATATGGGAACTATATTTATACCTTCTCCAGTGAAGCCACCAGAAGTAGATTGAACTGATAGTCCACCTTCTTCAACGGTTGGCAATGGTGATCGGGGCCTTTTGACTGATTTTAATGGTCTGTTTGTTATGGCCGCTGAGGATGTGGACGGTTTTTGCAAACCAACTGATTCATCGAGAATTAATGTTAAATTAGCTGCTGGTTGTTCAATTGAACTGATATTCATTGATAAATTCATTCCTTCCATGATAAATGCATCCGTATTTTCAGCCTCATCCATTTCATTCATGCATTCTTCAATCACTTGATCAGCTGAGTTATTATACTAAATGTTATCAACGACATAGTCTGGGTCACCAATACTGTTATCACTGCTAAAAGTTTCGTCTTCGACTTCCATAGAATCAATGAATTCCATTAATTTTTCATCCGTTAACTCTGCCAAATTTATTTTCTTTTTATAATAACGCTCAGAACGATCCATATTTCACGCAAAAATATATATAATTGCAATAACAAGCACACGTTTATATGTCTGTGGAGAAAAGATGAAACCCGCAATGAAAGAGAGGAGGACTATTTTTTTACCCTCAAACGGCAAAGACCGTCTTTAGACATTTATGCAGCTAGGAACATGCAATTTTGCAGTACTTGCACCCATTATCATCAGAATACTTAAAGTGAAAATTACAAAGATCGGGTCACTATAACCTATAGCTCCCATACAACTGATAGTTCAGATATGAGATTTTTCGTTATAACTTCTCCATTTATGCAGCTAGGAACATGAAATTTTGCAATACTTGCACCCATTATCAACAGAAAACTTAGAGTGAACATTATAAAGATCGGGTCGCTATAACATATAGCTCCCATACAACTGACTGTTCAGATATAAGATTTTTCGTTATAACTCCTACATTTAAGTAGCTAGGAACATGAAATTTAGCACTGTTGTCACTCATTATAAAAAGAATACTTTCAGTGAAAATGGGGAAGATCGGGTCGCTATAACCTGTAGCCTCCATACAACTGATTGTTCAGATATGAGATTTTTCCTTATAACTTGTCCATTTATGCAGCTAGGAACATGAAAATTCGCACCGTTTTCACTCATTGTTAACAGAATACTTATAGTGAAAATAACAAAGATCGGGTCACTATAACATATATTTCCCATACAACTAATTGTTCAGCTATGAGAATTTTCGTTATAACTCCTCCGTTTCTGAAGCTGGCAACATGATATTTCGCAATATTTCCACCCATTAAAGCAATACTTACAGTGAAAATGGCGAAGATCGGGTCGCTATAAGCTATAGCCTCCATACAACTGATTGTTCAGATTCGAAATTCTTTGTTATAACTTCTCCATATATGCAGCTAGAAACATGAAATTTTGCAATATTTTCACTAATTACCAACAGAAAGTTTAACGTAAAATTAACAAAGATCGGGTCACTGTAACCTATTTATATCCTCCATACAACTGATTGTTCAGATATGGGGTTTTACTGTAAAACTCCTTTATTTGGACTGCTAAAACAGATTAATTGCGTAAGCTATTCTATAAATAATAATACAAAGTCTACTGAGAAAATCGTCAAAATCTATGCTGTATAAGCTTTATCTCTTATACCTCTGATTATTCAGATACCAGTTATTACGATATATCTCCTTTATGTAGGAGTCTAAACCCATTAAATTGTGTTACCGGTTTACATACCGATCACACAGCAGTGAAAATCACTTAGATTGGTGCTATATAAGGTATATCATCCATACCTCTGATTGTTTAGATATGGTTTTTCGTATATGTATCTCCTCTATCTATGTATTCTGTAAATATATAATTTTTGCCAATGCAGGAATCTATTAAAGTTAAATTTTCAGATGCTCATGAAAGGTATGAAGCCTTCGGCATAGCCGAAGACAGCGCAGCTCTTACTTGTTTTAAACCATGATAAAAACATAGTAAGGTAAAACCGTTCTCTCAATTCGTCGGCCATGATTTTTTTTTGAAGTTTTTCCAACATTTTAAAATCATATAAAATTGAAAATAAAAAACTTAAATTGTTCGAAATTGTTGTTGCTTGAGATCGAAAATGAAAATGTGTGTGTGAGTCTGTGAGTAAATTTAAAAATTAAATTGTTTGGAAACGTCAAGAATTTTAAAAGTAACTCTCAGCGGTTCTACCTTACTATATTTTTATCATGTTTTAAACTAAACAAAACACAAATCGCAAAGTAATTTCAGGCGATATTTGATTCCTTGCTCGCACTTCACTGAAAACAGCACTCAAATGCATGATACAAAAAAGAAGGTAGTTTCAATAAACAACTTTTGACGGATAATACAATTTTTTGAAGTTTCATAAATTGTGAGTATTCTCAACGGCCTTGCCACTTTGATAATATTAAAACAATAAATCGAGTATTTTCTTTCCCACATTTATACCAATTTAATAATATTTCAAATCAAAAATCATTATCAGTGCCTACTAATTTTTTTTACTTACGTGGTTCGCACCTTTTTTTATTAAAAATATATAAAATGTGTAATGTTAAAGGAAACTTCATTGAAATTGTTACTTTCATTTTATATTTTTTATTTTCTTATTTTGAATACAATCTTGTGATTTAAAAATCAAATTTTAAAGAATGCTCCTTCCGAATAAATCTTTTTATAATCGCCAATTCCATGTGAATAAATTGTTCTCATAACTTAACATGCAAAACAAAGACAAATTGCGAAAAATTATTTTTGTTTTGCTTTATAATTTTTGGGAATATTTGTTCACAAGAAATTCGTAGTTCGTGATGATATTCATGAAAATTTACTTTTAAATTTCTCATCAGATTTTGCAAAAAACTAGGCTTTGTGGTTAGCGTATCACCCTTAAAATTTCGAATTTAAAATTTCCAATGTATGCAAAAAACTTGAATTCGGCTTGCGCATACCGCCCTCCGATAAGCAATAAGCATAAGTATAATTTTGATCACTTTCTTCATCCGTTCTGAAACGTAGTAATTAATTAATTAATAATTAATTTCAGATTAATCATATTCGACATCTTTGAGAGGACTGATGACATATTCTGCTTAAAAAAATATTACTGCTCGTGATCAGGTAGCATGAATTTAATGATATGTCATAATTTTATTAAAAGTCAAATGGTTAACAACAACAACAAATGTCATTAAATGAAACTACCTTCTTTTTACCTCGCTTTTATTAGCTCGGGATGTAACTATAGGTGTGTACTCGTATTGAGAGGACAAAATTCTCCAGCAGCAAAAGTTCTGAGAATTTAGCAACATTCGCTCTCAAAGAGACGAAATATCAACAGAAGTACGAGAACGCAAAATTTGTAAAAGCTTGCAACCTTTGAAACAGCTGATCACTTGCACAGTTGCCACTGGTGATTAATTTGGCAATTTATTTTCTGCTTGGTACATTTTCCCCCGATTTGGCATTTTATACAATTGAATATTTAGTTTAGGATAAGAAAAACCTTTTTAAAATACAAATTAATTACATCGGAATGAATAAGTTATTTTTCTCATAATTATTGGTGATATCACATGGTGACGCATTCAAAAACGAGAGTATCTCCTCCAAACACCCATCATTGATCCAAAACCAATGTAATAGATATAGCTACAGATGTAGCTTTAAAATTATAAAATTTTCATTTCAACAATTAACCTACCAAAACCGAAAACTTCAGGAAAACAACATTTCAGCATGCTGCATTTAAATCTATTTTGGTATATTTAAAGGTAAATTATGGTACAAACGAAAAATGTCATACGGCAACCATAGTCAGCACAGTAAACAAACTGGAGATTAATAGCAAATTAGCGAAAAATAAACACAACAAACGTTGTGCATATTAAATTTACTCACTTTTTCGTTGTATACTAGCATTAATAATAAAATTTGCAATAAATAACTCAAAAAGGCCATATTTGCTTTTGTTTATTTACAAACATGCAACTTGCAAGTTTTAGCTGGGAAAATTTTTCCAGCAGAAATTTGCAGCTCTCTTTCATATTTTGCTCTCTCAATTTCCCCTACATTGCAAGTTTTTTGGGTACGAGAACGCAAAACCAGTAAAAGTTTTATAAAACTTTAGATAGTTGGGCGTACGAGTACACTCCTTATGTAATATTGAGAGACCTAAAAGATGCAGCGATTTCCATTCTCAAGTTACGTACCTGATGACAGTACGAATGGCAATTATAAGAGGGAGGTTTTAGTTTTTTAAACTATAATTTTATATTATTTGTTGTTACACTCTGCATGGTATTCTTTAATTCGGATTAAATGGTTTGAAGTTGTTAGGAAAGCTTGTTGATCACATATATATTTGCACAAAATAAAATAAAATTTAATTTAAATTTAAAAAAGATTTAAATCTAGTGAATGTGTTTATTTATACCGCATTTTATAGATAGATAACATTTGTCTATAGATAACATTGCCCAGCAAAATTCTGTTGCGTAAAACATTGTAGCCGATTCTTATAGGATTTTCCCGCAGGGTCCGAATCTGACCGTAAAGATATTGGGTTGGCTCGATGTAGTTTTCGAGCAACTTCAGTTTAAAGGTGCCGAAAACGCGTTTTTGGACATTTTCGAGCCTTTTTTATACGAGTACGCGCGATTTTTTTAACTCTTGTTTGTATCATGCTCAAATGCGTTGTCGGAGTGCACTCATTTGAGTATCAAAATGCCAAGCACAGTAATTTGCACACATTTACCGTTAATTTAAGCACGAAAAGTAATTATGTTTGAAAGGCAATAAGGCGAAGACCGTCTTGAGACGGTCTTACCCGTTTGAGGGTTAAAGTCAATAAAATTACCTTTAATCTGATGGTAAACTTATAGCTTTAGATAGAATCAGTCGTAAGCTTAAGCAAAAAAAAATATTATATTCTCTCGAAAAATTGTCGTTTTTTCAAACTTCAGGTCACTTTCGGATCGTGAAGGCATGTTCCGATTGGGCTCAAACTTTTACAATTGTATTTTTTTACTAAGTAGCACACTTCTAGACGTGAGCACTGTAAAATTCGAAAGTCGGTACTTTAAACCCACTCTAATATATAAACATCGTATGAATACTATTGTTATCCGTTCACACGATTTTTTCGTAGTGAATGCTTGAATACTTTCGGCGTGGTATGCTGGTATTATAATTTTTCTAACAGGCGGAGAAATTGTTTAAATTTTCATTTGTTTACAAAAAATTTATTTATATTAAATTTAAAACTTTCAAGACGAAAAAAATAAATTTTAGTAGGGTTGTATGCAGGGCTCGTAACGAAAGTTTTTGTTCTTCGCTCCGCTCTAGCTCCGCTCCGGTATTTTATTTCGCTCCGAGATCTTTACGAGATATTTACGGAGTGTATTTCAGGTGAGTTGAACTTTATTTGAGCGAAATATCACCTGGAAATTCGAACGTCAGTAAATTTGTGACCCACTTGATATGGCCAATATTGTCCATTTAAATTCAGTTTAATGAATTGTTGA